CCCCCCACACACACACACAAATGAAATGATCAAAGTTGGTCACGCCTAATGCAGACACATTCACGCATTCACACAGACATACAGCCACACCGAGTCGAGCCATCACTGGTTGGCCAACACATTCGTTCGCCATCAGTGTCCTTCCAACAACGTTGCATTAACCACCGTTTGTGTCCTCGTCGGTCGACGAGAGAGAGACACGAACGCCTGCATGTCCTTCCGACAGCCGCAAGCATTATCCGTAAGTCACACACAGCTGAGAGAGGAAGAGGGAGGCTTGCGTGTGACTATCCCTCTCTCTGTGCGCGTGTGTGCAGTGGTGCCTGTCTCATTTAGGCGGCACGACGATCGGCTCTCAGCTGAGAGTTTGGAAGAGACATGCATAGAATGGATGGATGGATGGATGGAAGACAAATATAACGGTTGGCGGGCTGCAGAGCTGAAAGGGAGTGGATTCACATCCAATCGGGTCCGCATGAGCACATCCAATTAAGCACATCCACGTGCGATATATACCTTGTCAACGAGCAAAGAATGTAAGATGTAGGCAACGATGGTCCACCCCCCATATACCCCACCTCCCCTCCCTTCTCATTAGCCCCTCAACCCCTCATCCTCCCAGGCCCATGTTGCGCTGCACCTCGCGGGTGGTGTCGCTGATGCGGAGGTGCAGCGCATGTCTCGCTCCACGGCCGTTTCGAGCAGGTCGTCGTCGGGCGGTGGCGGCAGGAGATAGGCCGCCAGCAGCCCCGCGAGGATGTGGTTGAGCTGCCCGTTGGTGAAGTCGTAGTTGTTGGGCACCACTTGAGCCCGTTGGCAGCGCTCGTCGACAGCCCGAAGAGGGCACTCTGGAGGCCGATGCATCCACGAGGGTGGGTGTACAGGTACCATATGCGCTGCACGGCTTGCGTGTCTTGGGCCCTGACGCATCACACACACACACACACACACACACAGAGGGGAGGGAGACACAGTTTGCATTAGTGTGTCCGTCTTCCTTTCTTCTCCCTTTTGTCGGCCTTACGGGTGGTGGCAGGCGGTGATGATGGTGTGTATCAGGGTCTTGTAGGCCGGTAGTGCGCGGCTGCGGTTGATCAGGCGGCGGGCCAGGCGTCGCCGGTGCTGCACGGTCAGCCCGCGATCGTACAGGTGAAGGCCGGCATCATGCATCATGCATGTGCCGGCCTGTCGGCCTTCATGAAGTCATGGGGACCCACAGGCTGTCGGCAGCGCGGCGGCGCATGAGCTCCCCGGCTGCGTTGCGCATGGGCTGGCGCGGCTGTGCAGCCATGAGCAAGCGGGCCAGCGGGACCGCCACGCAACAAAACCAGATGTATAACCGCACTCGGACTGATGGGCAAAGACAATTGGGCAAACAAACAAACAAACAGCAGCAGGAAGAATGACACGTTCATTTGTTTGTGTGTGAGTGACGAAGGGTTCCTCACTCTCTGGGCACGGCTGTGGAAAGCAGACCTGCTCACACAATTCAACACAACACCCACACGCTGTGATGTGATGTGTTGGTGACATATTGGTTGAGCCAAAAGAATTACTTACGTGGCATATTGCATTGACGAACACCCACTCGTAACTGACATCGAACACACCAACACCGCACAGTCCACTTGTGACTACAATGCGCCGGCTGTCTTACTTACTTCCAGTCTCAATAGTCCAGTCCGCTGTTTCTCCTATGCGGTCGCCGTTCTGCTGCAGATAGCGCCAGGAACAAGGAAGGGCAGGTAGTGCCACAGATTGATGGTGACGTGCTGCCGAACAAACACAAGCAACCAAGCCCCAGACACATTCACAGACGCGACGGCGAAATGATGCATGTGGATGCATCTTCATGCATGCAACGCGTGATGAATGAATGCAGTGACATCTGCCTCTCACCGTATTAGTGTAGTGGTCTCGGGCGGAGAAGTGCAGTAGATGGGCGTATATCTCTCTATGGTCGGGATACACAATTCCCGCCACCGACCATACTCCCGCGGCTAGAATCGGGAGCGGGTGGGGGAAGGCGAATGCACGCCAGCGGCAGCGCTGGACGCCTCAGGCGGCGGCGGCATCGTATTGGCGGCCTGCTGTGGTTGGCCGTTGAAAGTGCACGCGTGAGGGGCGGTGAGGGGCTTGGGATATGGGGGGGGGGCGGGGGGGAGCTGGATGCAGCAGGAAGGTTGCCAGGGAAGGTTGAGCAAACGAGAGAAGGCGGGCAGCAGGGGATGAGCCAGCTTGATTGCGACGAATACAGCGGCGTGCGCTCGCAAATGACTTGCTCCTTTTTCCTTCATAATTTGTCTCCTTTCTCGACGTTTGTACATCCGAGTGTACATCTGTGTCCTAGCTGCGTTCGCAACTTAAGGGCAGGCGGACGGGGCACGTCGGCGCTGAGTCCCTCTGCTTTGAAGCGTTTTCACATACAGAGCGCTGCTGCTTACAACAAATAAATAACACACACATACTACACACACAAAGTGGAGTCATAAGGGAGGGTGACGGCCACCTTCGGCACGGCAACGGGCGAAGGGGAGGAGCACCATGACATGCCACTCCACCTGTACGTTGCAGATACCCGAAGATCGCCGTCTCGATTCCATCACCACCCACCGGTGCCACCACCTCCCACCTGCCACCACCTCCCACTCATCTTCCGTCCGCATGCACACACATACACGATAAACAATACGATACACCACACCCACCGGTGACGTCTGTCTGTCTGTCTGTCTGTTGCCATGGGTGCGCCACTAGCACACCAGCTGCCTACCCACCCCGGCCGTCACGCCTTTGTCTCTCTACTCTCTACGTCCATTCATTCCGTCACACGTCGTCCATGTCGTCGTCTTCATCCTCATCTCTGTCGCCCTCACTCAGCCGGCGGAAGGTCTCGCACACATCGACATACTCGTCAACTGCACACACACAGATGCACCGCAGACACACACGGGTGTGTCGGTGTTAGGTGGTGTGTTGCGTGTGTGTGAGCGGCCTGACCTTCCATGCCCTGGTGGTCCGATATCTCTGCCACCTTTCCCGCCATCCGCACACGATCCAACGCAAAGGATATCGACTGCACCACACCACACCACACCACATCACACCAGCCACACGTTCACGCGTCAGTCGCCCGTGTGGTTGTGGTGAGGCTCATTTCATTCACGAACCTGGAGTGGGGGTATGAGTGCTGCCTTCTTCTGCTGTCGCCGCCCCACCGGCCGCGCCGTCTTGGCCAGTCGGGGGTCGATGGAGTGCAGCAACGCACACACGGCAATCTCCTCGACGTCAACAGACGGCTCACGACAGGCTGGCGGCTTCCTGATCATCGAAAGGAAAGGAGTGTCAAGGACAAATGAGTTGTGCATGTGTGTTGCGAGTGGGTGGGCGGAGGCTCACATGAGTGTGCCGTTTGATGCGATGTGTGCGTTGAAGAGCTGTGGGTAGGCCAATGGCAACACCAGAGGAGAATCCACCGCATAGCTGACAGACCAGCAATGGGGGCAAGTGACTGACAAGAAGGCTCCATGTGTGTGCGCCTGTGAGTGGCTGACCATCTGGCTTGCGCAGGTGTGGGTAGATATCTGCTGAGCAGCGGTAGGAAGGGCACCGACAGGCCACGGGCAGACAGACACTGATACGGATGACCCTGCACACAACGCAATAACCACACACCCATGCATACACTCATCTGTGTGTGTTGACGCAAGCCTCTCCTATGCTGGCTTGGCTGACCATCCGCTTTGCCCCCAGAGATGCTCCCGTGAGGTCATTGAAGCCCAGTGGCTGCCACACGGCTGGGGAGGGGAATACCGATGGCTGTGAAATCACGTCGCCCCGCTCGTTGAGATCAGGGAACGGTGGGAACAGCGACATGTTGGCAGACACCTTGGACCGATCCCTGCAGGCACGACGGATGGATGACATACAGGATGGATGGAACAGCAGCATTCGTGTGTTGGTTGGTTGGCGCACCATATGGGTATGGGAAGGGCGAGCCCCAGGCCGCACAGGGGGTTGCCGCTGGGCACGGACGCCTTGATCATGTCGGTCAGACTCACACCTCGGCCACACGACAACCTGAATTAATGGATCCGACGACACATAACCTCCACCACATGGGCCATCTGGCAATCATCTCTGTATACCTGACGGGGCTTGTGAGTGCATCGAGGGCAGTGGCGATGATCGCCGACGAGTCGAACCAATTCACAGCCTGCGTGACAACACACATGCTGCTCGATTGCCACTGCTCGATTGCCATTCGCACACCCGTCAGTCAGTCGCCCACCCACCTCAAATTCCAGCGGGTAGATCTGCCTCTCCGTCAGGCCGCCACCAATCTCACCCAACTGTGGTGGGTACCTCCACTTGTCGCACTCCACCACACACACGCCCGTCCCCTCACCACCCGCACCCTCACACCCGAAGCCATGCAGCGTAAATGCCCCGTTGAGACGCCGATACTGCAGCGGCCAGTCGATTGTCTGTGCTGGAGCGGCAGATGCCGACGGCGTCTCGCATGTGGCAGCGATGGCGAAGATGGACGCCTTTGGGCACTCCTCGCTGATCCATTTCTTGTATGTGGTTGCAAGGGCGGTGAATGCCGTGTGTTGGTCGGTGAGCATTTGGAAGGCGTCGATGCGGTCGGAGAGCTCCAGCTGGTGACGGAGCAGCTCAAGCAGGGCCTCAGACTGCCAGGAAGCACAAGAGACGCAGTGCACAATACGGCTGGTGATGGATCCGTATTGGTAGTTGCATGCATACATACGTGTTGGTCCCTGTCGGCATATGCGAGGCCGTCGAAGAAGGAATCGAACCCGCCGATGCTCAAATGATAACCTGAACCAAGAGGGGGACGGGACGGGAGAAGGAGGCGGCATGAGAGTAATGGATAGATACGGCAGACAGACATGGTCGCCCTCCATATCTATTCGTCGCCCACCTTGCAGCTCATGGACACTGGTTGGTGGCAGCTCCACCTGACAAGAACAGACAGACAGACAGACAGAGAGAGCGGCAGAATGGATGGATGAATGGATGGTGGATGGACCAGTCAGCATCCAGTCGGTCGGCTGTGTTTAGTCACCTTGAGGTAGTCGGTGAAGTATCTGGTGTCCCGCCGCACCTCAGCGGCCGATGGCGGCGACACTCTGGCCACTTTGGTTGAGGCGATGCCGTGTTCGCCCGTGTCCCTGCCGTTGCGCCAGTCGTGGGCCCCCAGGCTGCGCACGTAGGCTGATGGCGGGATCCGGGGAGACGCTTGCACGGTGGCCTGGCCCTTCCTGAACACACGTGAGTGACATCCATCAGTCTGCCGTTGCGCATGTGCCTTGCAGCTCTCGTGCTGGCTAACCAAGTGTGTGCGTATGGCTGCTCCTGTGGCTGCTCTTCTTGTTGGTCGCCATGAGGTACGCGGTCTCTCACGGCGACAGAGCCCAAGGCGCCTGACGAACGGAAGATACGCCGGACATTCAAATGCGCGTTCATCCTCCGAGTTTCTGTCTGCGTGTGTGCGCCCTACCGGAGTAGTCGACGACCATCAGTCGGGGCCGGTAGACCACCCCCTGACGACCAACAAACACACACACACGACGGAAATGGATGGGCCAGCGACAAATGCCTGGCTTCTCTGTCCCATGAGTGCTTCCCACCGTCTTGGAGTCGTGTGTCGAGTAGTATGGCGTGTAGTCCATCTCACGCTCGTCCTCCGCCTCGCTCTCCGCCGCACCTGCACTCTCATCCTGAATGCACACACAGATGCACACACCACAGAGATCAAAGGGATGGATGAATGGGATCTGCCTGCTGATGCGTGTCGTGCACTGGCTCACGAGTAGGTTCCAGAAGTGGCTGCCGATGAAGTTGGCGAAGGTCCCAAGCTGCAGCGTCACTACATCACGAGGACCGGACGATGCCATGCTGATGAATCTACGCTCAGAGCAGCGTCAGCAGTGGCCTCTATCAGCCTGTAAGAGCTTCAAGCACCGTCGCAGACCTGAGCGATCCACCACATGCGAGCTTCAGCTCGCATCCTCGCCATCGCCATCCTCTTTTCCCTCTTTCCAGGTAAGTGGCATGATCTCCATGTCATCAAAAGAGCGTCTCCTTCATTCCTGGTGCTTTTGCGCCGTACTTTGTGCAGGCCCCACTTCTTGACTTCTATCGGCCCAGTCTGTCACCTCCTCCTGGGGATAGATGCCTTCCACAGCCGACAGAAAGGCCGAAAACAACTGGTAAGGCACCGATCCACACACGGCCGACACATTGCCGTCCGTCAAAGCGAGCCCTACCGCTGATCTTGGCTGCTTGTCGTTGTGTGCAGGTACTGGTCCATCCCGAAGGTGGAGGTAGGTAGGGGAGAGTGCTGGCCATCAAGCAAACATGAGGATCCGATCCAGGTATATATGCGATGTTTGATGGCATGGCTGGCTAGCAGCTTCACTGCCACCTGGAGGGCAGCATCCGGTTCTCGCGGCTCATCAATGAGTATGTGCGGCAAGGCATCGCCCTCCCCACCGACGACGTGCCGGCCCAGCGGGATTTCTTCCTTATCGAGACACCCGTGCCGGACCTCAGCGCCTTCGTCGACAAGTTCGACCACATACACAAGATCTTCGGTCGGCCGGCCATCGTGGTTGCCTCTTCCATGCATCCTTCTTTCTGTGGTGTGTGTCTGACGCACAGCCGACCTGAGTGTGCTGGAGGCGATAACTGAGGAGGTGATCGAGGACAAGTTCAACGAGGGTGTGGTCATGTTCGAGATGAGATGGGCGCCCAGCTACATATCGGGCAGCTTCGAGTACGACTTCAACGACATCCTGCGGTACATCCAGCGGGGCGTCGCCAAGGGCCGTGCCAAATGCGACAACAAGATCGAGGTAGGTAGGGAAGAGTGCTGGCCATGAAGCAGACAGACATGAGGATCCGATCCATGTATATATGCGATGTTTGATGGCTGCAGGTTGGCATGATCTGCATAGCTGTCGGTGCGTTGGGTGCCGAGCAGTTCAAGAAGACCGCCGACTTCTGCATAGCCAACAAGGATGCATTCATCGCCTTCGATATCGCCGGCAATGAAGTGAACGCCGGCCAGTACAAGGTAGGTGACATCACCGACCCACCCCCATCCACACGAACAACATCACATCCTTCCATTATGGGTCTCTTTTTCTGTCTCAGGAGTACATGGATCAGCTGCATGCGGCGGGGGTCAACATCACTGTGCATGCAGCCGAGGACAGGGTGGCCGGGAAACCGGAGAACGCCATCATAGCCGTCGAAGACCTCCACGCCACGCGCATCGGCCACGGCATCCAGACCGAGAAGGACCCAGCAGCGTTCAAGACGATTCTCGACCGGGACATCCACCTGGAGCTGTGTCCCTCATCCAACTACGTGACAAACTCAGTGGACAGCGTGGCTGACCATCCCATCCGACGATTCTTCGACCTCGGTGCCAACATCTCCCTCAACACGGACGACCCCGGCCTGATGGCGGTGGACCTGCCGCACGAGTACAAGCTGCTGCACGAGCTGCCCAGCCTCCACTTCACCCCAGCCGAGTTCAAGGACATGAACCTCAAGGCGATCGAGGCCAGCTTCATGCCCAAGCACATCAAGGACAAGGTGCGCGACACGTGGTTCTCTCACAAGGACCCCCTGGGCATCGCCGTGCCGCTGCCCGACCTGCAGCCAGCCAAGCAGGTAGCGGCAGCGGCAGTGGCTGCTGCTGTGGCGACGGCAGCTGCCCCGGCAGCCCAGCCGTCGGTGCAGCAGAAGAAGGAGAGGAAGACGCGCATTGCGGAGGATGTGCTGTCGCCAGTGGAGGGCATGCAACCCGAGAGAAAGAAAGAGGGACGCAGATGCTGCTGCTTCTGACTGAGACATCCACCTACCAACCAACGAATACATAGATTCCAAGGCCTGGGAGAGGAGGGGATCCCACTGCATGGCCTGGCTCGATCGTTTTCCTTGTCGGTCTGTGTGGCTTCTTTGACTGGCTTTGGGGCGGCGTGGTGCTGCCTTGATCTGTTCTGTTGTCTGCCGAAATGCAGAAGCGTGAATTTTTCCCTTGTGTGAGTGCGTGGTGCAGTGGAGTTTTCGGCTTGCGAGAGAGAAGGGAGACAGGAAGGAAAGCATGGGAGGGTTGACTCGTAAGACAATCCGCCTTAGTCAATGAGACATCGCCCGATCCATATATACGTCAGGAGGCGAAAGACACTGACATTCTGATGTCTTTTTTCCATCCAATCAAGCAATGCCCAGTGACCAGTCATGTCTCTCTCGTTGGCCGGTCGGCCAAAGCTTTCATGACATGACCGTCCATCCACTTCATTCTCAGTATGGAGAGCAGAGGGCCGTCACCTTCACCGATGGCCGCGGAAGAGTCTTCAGCGTGCCGATGGAGTGCTGGTATTCCAGCCTCTGAGACACCAAATGGGCACATAAGGGAGAGGCACCAATGGCATGGCAGCACCGGCGTTCTCCTTCTCCCACCTGCATCGTCTCATTGGCATCTTCCGGTTTGAACAACAACCCTCTATTGCTCTTGCTGCGGCCAGTCGGTGCAGGCAAGACCTTACTCAGTGGCACCTTGCCGCCAGCGGCATACTGCGGCTGCTCCTCCCCTTCCCCGTCCGCCTTAGACTCTGCTGTAGGAATGTCGCTGCGGAACCAGGCCATCTTCATTGCGGCAGACGACTTGGCGGCCGCCAAGTGGAAAGGCCTCTCTCTGGTGTTCTCCATGTCGGGCGGCTTGGGCACACTGTCGACCAGCTGAGACCGGCTGGGCACACTGGTGAGAGTGTGGGCGAAGTCGAGAGGGTGCAATGCGCGGCCGCGAGAGAGCTTCTTGCGCTGTGCGGGCTCGGGTGGGAGCTGGGCCATGGTGTTTTGGATGAAGAACGCGGAGCGGTCCTCTTTCTGGGACGCCTGTTCCTCCAGCTTCTTCTTGACCTCTCGCCGGTACATATGCCGCCCACCCATGGTGCCTGCACGCAGGGGCACATAGTGAATGCCAAATGCTCATCGAGACACGATGAAATCAGCTGCAGCGTGCTGTTTACCGGCCGGCACGCTTGGTTTCTCCTTGGCGCGCCCCATCGCGGCAGTGAGTGCGCCTCGCACCTGCTCTTGTATGAAGCCATATGCCGCACCCGTCACCCCCATCATATACTGGTCGATGATGTCCGCTTGGTCGTCACCCAAATGTGCCTCGATGTCCCCTAGGGCCACCTGAACCAGGCGCCTTTTCGCCGACTTCGCCACGGGCGACGCTCCAGTCGTGTCCTGACGGTCTTGGTGCACAGCCTGCCCCAGCTTTACGAACCGCAAGTCGACACCGACGGACCTCTGCCTGGGTGTGACTGGCCTGCTGTCGGGGAAGAGGGGTAGCAGCACTGGCGAAGGGGGCGGGGGTGGACGCTGATAGGGAGAAGCCGGCGTCTCTTGACGCATCTGCGGCTCGGCCTCGGCTTGGTGCTCAGGGCCAGGGGGAGGGGGAGGGGGAGGATGAGGGGGAGGAGGCGCTTGGCGTATTGGTGTGGGTCCGGATGAGAGGGGGGCAGGGGTGGGGTTCTTTGTCACCACCGGTGATGTGTCAGGCGACATCTGCTTGGCTGGCCGGAGACCAGACGGCGCGGCCAGAGGGATGCCCGTCAGAATGGGGGACGGCTCGGCCAGGGCCCCCAGCTGCTGCCCAACGTCAGCAATGGGGGCGTCTGAGAGGCCCTCAAGAGGAAAAACGACGGCACGTTCAGAGGGTGTCCGTCTTGGAACCTCGCTCGCTCCCGAGGCGGCGGACATTAAGGACTCCCTCCGCCGCCGATCCTTGGCGGATGGCAAAGTGGGATGAGAGGGCGGTCGGCTGACACCTTGAAGGATTGATGACCCCCCTTCAAATAGAGGCGTTTCGGGGGCCTGAGCACAGGTACATGTCCGCCTTTGTGTGGGGGCGCCCTGTGTCGTGGGTCTTGACCGCCTTGCCCTCCGCCGCCCCAGTGTCACAATGCTCCCCGTCTCTCGTGACACAGCCGTCCTGTTGTCGATCCAGTGGTAGCCTGCTGCACTTGAAGAGGCGCTGGACAGCCCTCTGTTGCTCTCGGTCCACCAGTCCAGGATGCTCTCGCCCTGAGCAGTGGTCGACATGTAGGCAGTGGACGCGGGTCGCACAAGCTGTGTCTCAGACCGCTGCTGCTGCTGAGGTTCATCTGCGGCCAAGTGACGAGAAGACATGCTCTTGCAGAGGAGGAGTGGGGGGCTGCTCGGGTCGACGTCTGGCCTTTCCCCATCCGTAATGAAGGCACGGGATGACGATGCAGACTCGGGCAGCGGGACTGGGATGGCAGAAGAGGGGCGGTCCAGTTCCCTCCTCTCTGTGGCAGCTGTGGGTGGTGGTGCTGTGGAAGGTCTGGTGGCTGCATCGAGGATAGCGAGGCTGCGGAGCTCCTCGATTGTGCCCCGCAGCGCCTCAAGCGTTTCAGGTGTGAGGACCTACAGCCACATGAAACGAAGGACGGACGATGGATGCATCGAACCCCTGGTATTACGGCAATGATGTCTCTCTCGTACCATCGATGGCGCGACCAGAGGAAAGAATCGGATATCTGGTAGAGGGCGTGGTGCGCCCTCCTCGTCCACTTCATGGGGTCGGGCAAACCGCAACGAATCCATGAAAACATCAAGATGATGCCACAGCTGGTTGTGTCTCCGTATGGATGCGAGGGGCGAGTTATTGAGGTATTGTGCCACCCCAGCGGGCAAGACCAGGTCACAGATGCCCGACGACGGCTTGGGCGGCGGGAAGTGGCTTATGCTCAGGGGCGGGGGCACACGGGTCTTGAGCGTGTCGACGTCCTCGAGAAAGGTACTATTCCACAACAGACCAACCTACAGCCACACGTGACTACGCTCAGACGAAATGGAAAAGGCCGTAGGTGTGTGGATTTGTAGCTGACCAGTCTCTGGACGTCTTGACATTTGCGAGTGAGCTCTTGACGAGTGAATGCTTCTCTCAAAGCATAGAACCGCCGGTAGCGGCTCTCGTACAGCCTTGCGCGCTGCCGGGCCATCTCCTGTGGATAGATAGAAAACAGCACACCTCTGCACCGGTTTCACATCTGTCGACCCTGTCTCATATCTCACTCACCTTCATGCTGCTTCTGAACTCCATCGACAGATGCCTTTCGACATCCTGTCCTTCACACAGACGGCAGACAGACAAACATACACACACGAGACACGACAATGAATGAATGGGCATTCACCTCACCCTTCGTTTTGTGGTTCGGTTTCCCTCACTCACCTTTCTGTCGATGACCATGACCTCCACAGCCCGGCTGCCCGCCACGGCCGCATACTCAAAGAGCCCCTCGTCCTTTTCTCTCTCCTCGATGACTCTTTGGCGACCCCCTCTTTTGCTGGAAATGTGGTGGAATATACGCAGGTCCTTGAGGACCGACAACCCCACCCACTGCCCTTCGCTTAGTGTAGCCAGCACTGGCGGCGGGAAGGGAGGGGGACCCATGGCGTCGAGCGACTCTTGCAGCCTCTTGCATTCGTCTTCTTGCTTGATGATCCGCACCTGAGACACACAAAATGAATGGCAAAGTGATCCATTATGTGTACCTGTAGGCCTGAGACCCTCGCTGTTTGATCGCTATCTGATGCACTGACCTCTCCCTGGACGATGACCATGAGTTCGTTGTGTGAGGGTTGCATCTCATTCTCGAGGAATTGGCCCATTTTGAAAAACTGCTGTTTGAAGAAGTACGAAATGGCGTCCACACACTTCTCAGCCACCCTCCCATAGCCAGGCACATACCTGTCGAAACCGAACAGGCAGGCAGCAAAAGAAGGAGACAGCATTGACAGAGACTGAAATCGAACGATTGCGGCCGGCCCGTACTTGCGGATGAATGCCAGCTTCTTGCGATACTTCTTGCCCATCTCCTTCTTGAGAATGCTATTAAATGCCCTCTTTGTGAGATAACATGCCTCCACCGGACCCAACAACTGCACAGACGGACCGCCCAAGAAGCAATCAATGTCTGTCTCCGACATGGCATAAGCCATTTCTCCCTCTCTCACCGCCTTAATGGACGCAGCTCTCTTCTGCTCCGTGATGAGGCCCCTCTCGCCAAACGACGCCCCGCTGGAGAGTATCCCAACCCTGAAGGCCGCCCACCTCGGCCGGTCTCCCCACTCATCCTCTTCCCCCTCCTCGCTCTCAATGGCAGCCTCACTCATGAACGTCCGCCCCCGCAATGCAGGCGACGGCTGCTGGCTGCCGAGGCTCTTGCGGGTGGACACTCGCCTGACAGACGTCGGTGAAGGCGCCTCGGGGGTGCGGGGGGCCGTGACGGGCCTGGTAGGAGAAGGCTGCGCTGACGATGATGCGGACGACGAAGAGCTCTCTTCGGACTCGGGCAGCTGAATCGGCTGGGGTGTCTGAAAACGGGTTACCAGGGTTGGGAAAATCGCTGTGAGCAGAGAGTATTGCGGACCTGTATTCGGAGGTACGCCGGGAGCAGTTGCTCTGGCTTGATGTAGATGCCACATGTGCCGCGAAGGATGATGTAGAAATTGTCGGCCTCCTCGCCTTGACGACATAGATAGGTCCCCTTGACGAAGCACTCGTACAAAAGGTTCTGACACACCTGCACCAGGGGCGCAAAAGAAAGAGAGACATCCATCGCTCGCTTCCACAACCATCTGCTGCATCATTTCCGCCTCCCGCCTCCCAGCTCTCACCGCCTTTTGTGTCTTTTCGGGGAGTGTGCTGAAGAAGCTGTTCTGTTCCAAGAGGCGCCGCAGCTGTGAGACGTGGTAGACACTCCTCTCCTCTGAGAAGACAGGAACAAGACACAATCAAGCATATGGTCTGGTCGCCTGTCTTATGCTCTCGTTACTCGGCGGCTGATTTTTGAGTATCTCCACGCAGGTGCGCAGACGGCGACCGTCGGAGTCTTCCATTTGCTGTCACGGCGGGGAAAGCAGATGGGGCTCAAGAGAGGGGCTCATCTATTGGGGCTCATCAAGACCTCAAAGGTGTCCCATTATATCGTCAGATGAGGTGGATCTGCGCACGTGTGCACGATGTCCGGCGCGCGAAAGAGCCGGTCGGTCGGTCGGGTAAGGGTCCGCCCTGTCTTCCCTTTCCTGCCCTCTCAGCCGCCTTTGCGAGCTAAGCTTGCAGCTGCATGAATTCGACCTAATGAAAGGAGAAGAAGGGAAGAGAAGAGAACCAGCAGACCATTTCATGGAGTCAGCGGCTATTCAGCATCGCAGCCACCAGCAGCATCCGGGGTGTGTCATGAGCAGCGCTGAATCATCGGGGAGATCACGTCGTGACAGACGACACAGTAGGTGGCTGCATCTTTCTCTCGCCGTCGCCGGTCTTATCCATTCGTCCCTCGCCCTCTCCTCGAGACCATCTCTTCGTGAGCTCATGACTGTCCCGCCTCAGGTGCGGCATTCGGCCACGCCAGCGCTGTTCGCGATAGCAGCAAAGCCGCCTGTCAATGGATCTGAGGATCGGCGGACCTGTCACCGCCCCTTGCCACGGCGAAGACTACGGTGCTCATCTGCCAGCACTGATCTGCCGCTGACTGACGGCAATCCGCTTGAAGGGCTTCCAGAGTTCAAGTTCCCGTCGACCAAGACCAGCAAGACGCCCACAATGGAGCCGCCGAAAGAGCAAGACCGGCCGACAGACAAGCAGCCGAAGACGGAGGAGACGATATCAGAAGACGAGTCAAGGTCAAGCTGTGTTGCAGAGCAAGGAGAGGACCTGGGAAGGTCGCTAGTGCAGGGGATGGGGGAGGGTGAGGCTGAAGTAGGGGAGGATGCTGAGCCGGCGAATGACGTGTTGCGTGTCAAGTTTGGGAGTGCGGTGTGGCAGAGTGTGAGTGGCACCTACCAGCGGCTCGCGGATCACCCATTCTGCCTCGACATGGCTGAAGGAAACCTACCCGCGGAGGTCAGTGAGGGCTGCAGTTAACACCATCACATAAACATACACACACGGACTTGTGGCCGTTGTCCTGTTGTGTGTGACTGTTGTGACTGGAACATTCTGTCTGCCCACTCAGGTGTTTCAGCGTTTCGTGGTGCAGTGTCTTGTGTTGCTGGATGACGTCCAGAAAGGGACCTCTGTGCTGGCACAGCGCACCCCCGAGGGCCTGCAGGAGATGCTGATGGAGGTGGCCTCTGTCAGCCGGCAGGTGTCTGATGACCTCAGCAGCCAGTACCCACAGCAAAGGGAGCTCCTCGAGCTGGGTACGCTCGCTGGTCTGCAGTGCAGCCAGCTGACAACAGCTGATGCAAAAAGCTGTGTAAGTGCTGTGTTGTGTGTTTAAACTGTCAGGTTCGGTTCGATTTCCGTGTCAGCTGGACAGCTGCTTCTATTTGTCCAACTTTATCCGCAGCACGTGTGGCACACGAGTGCTGCCGGCCGGCCTCGCTTGCATCATCGCCTTCTGGTGGATACTCAGGTAGGTCCTAATGTGGCCGGGGCGGGGCGGCGAGCCATGAAGTTGAAATGCGGCCATAGTACGGTCGGTCATTGCGTGTGTGTCATGATGCGACGCGTGCTGTGCTGTCTTCCTTCAGGGACATGCTGAAGGAGATCGACGTGGTTGCGTCACAAGACAATCCATACAGGTCGGTATGCGGAATGCATGCACAGACAGACACCTGAGGCACGGCAACACATGAACCAATGGGGTAGGGCAGCATGCGGTGCCATGCGATGCGATGTGTGTCTTCTTCCTTCCAGGCCGGCGCTCCAGGCGGTCTGTTCGTCCTACACACTGCACACCGTCGAGTCGCTTCGGTTCCTCCTCGACGCCATCGGGGAGTCCACCGGTGACACTGGCAGGACGGAGATCGAGCGTGTCTTCCAGGCCATGAGTGGACTGCTTCTCAACATGGTCGAGGAGCTCTACCCCTCACCCCCACCGCCACCAATGCCGGGATTCGAGCAGGCCGGCTAAGCCGGGATTTGGCTGGCCCATCTGTGGCGGTGACTCTGGTGCGTTTGTGAGGTGCGTTTGTTTGTGAGGTCGTAGAGGCGTTGGTCAGCCAAATCAAGTAGTGACTTTTGATGTGGACCATTCAGACATCTTCGTATAATGCCAGTGACTTCACGGTGTGTTTATCAGCACTAAACCCACCCCCTCCAGCGGGCACGTCCGTTTGTATGGTGTTCGCGTGTCTGTGCTGTCGCCCACTGGCGCAGCTCGAGTGAAAGGGGCGAGCGGGTCGTGTGTGTTATACAACCAAACTCACACATCAGATGCGCAAACGTTCGTGGGAGACGTGTGTGGTGTGGTGTGTGGGGGTGAAGCGCACCATATGGCATGAGTATGGATTGAATCGACGACACGCACGCACACGAGCCACACACAAATACACACGCAAGCACTGCTGTCCATCGTGCACATGTTTGTATGGATTGATGAGTTCGGTCGGTAGGGCTACACTTGTGTGTCTCGCAGATGCACCGAGGCAGCGCTGCGCTATCTATCTCCGCCACTTCGTCGTGGCCGTCCTCCCCGACCCCCACCTGACATCCATCCATCGACCGATGACCCGCACAATGAATCTGAAGCAGCCGGTCTAACTTGACCCCTCGCCACTCTCACCTTCAGCCGTCATCTGCTGCTGCTGCTACTGGCCGGCTATCGTCCCACTCCTCCCGCAACTCGCCATCCACATCTGCACACACACAGAGGAGGCACACACATATCCGGCTGGACACAAGACACACCCCGCTCGCCCGCACCCCTCTTGCCTGTGTTGGTGAGCTCCACCAGCGGCCCGCCATCGTCAATGTCGTCATGATGCTGCACACTGGGGGGCGCTGTGGCGGCGGCAGCTTCTGAGTGGTCCGATCGCTTGACCTCAGCCTCGAAGAACGCCCTGCATCAATGGGGAGAGAGCGAAATGGACAAGAGACGGGTGGGGGTGATGAATATGTGGCTCGGTTGGTTACACACTTGAATTTGCGTCTCTCCTTGGCCTCCTCGTCGGCCTGCATCTTCTTGACCTCACGCAGCAGCTTACTGCATCAGACAACACAAGCAGAGAGACAGACCATGAATCGCCTTCGCCTTGGCCCCCTTCGTCCCCTCTATGTCTGCCTCTCCTTCTGCAGGCACCCACCTGAGTTCTGTGTCGTTGGGTGCGATGTCTAGTGCCCTGATGACGTTCCTCTTGGCCTCACCGAAGTCCTTGCACTCCAGATGGGCCCGCGCCCGGCGGTAGAGGGCCTTGACCAGGTGGGGGTCCACGGCCAGCACCTCCGTGCACCGGCAGATCGTCATGGCCTAGTCCTTCAACTCCAAATAACACGCCGCCTGCACTCATAAATCGACACAACAGACACACACACGGTGTGGCGTGTTGGGCGTTCGTGTGCCTGCCCTGCCCACGGGCATACCTCATTGAGTTTGCACAAGGTAGCCAGGCGGTGCCTCTCCTCCTCGATGGCGGGGCTGGGCGCCACAAAGGCCAGGAGGCGGGCGGCCTTCGTGTAGTGTCGCAGGGCGTCCTCACACTGCCGCGACTGGAAGGACGTGTTGCCCTGGCCCTTGCATGCCTCAGCCCTGTTGCCATCACACCAACACACAACAGATGGGCGTGAGTGTTTGCTCTCTGGTCCTGGTCACTCACTCGTCGAGTCGCTGTTTGGCCTCGCCCTCGCCGTCTATGTCGTCCCACTCGTCCTCCTCCGAGTCGCCATCCTTATCTGCACACACACACAAAACACATCCGAGTGAGAGATGCAGCAAGGCGGGCTGGGCACCGCACAGACCACTTACCCTCACCCTCATCGCCATCGTCGTCATCCGCACCCTCCTCTGCACACCACCACACACACACCGATTCATCCGACCGACAGACCGAGATGGAGGCGGCTGGCTGCACACTCACCCTCATCAGAGGCTTCCTCCTGTTGGTTGACCGCCATGTCTGCGATGGTGCTGCCCAGCGGGCCGCCCACCAGAGGGGCGGTGGCGGGCCGGCGGTCCTTGAAGGCATCAGATGCATCACCCACTGGCGGCTCGTTGGTGACGATAGAAACAGCCACTGCAAAACAGCACACGTCAAAGGACGGCTCAATCAGCAGAGGATCTGTGACGCCTCACCTGTGGTCGTGTTGGCCTGAGTGATGATGAGAGTGATCCACGCGACGAATGGGCTGTCGAACGGCGTCAGCAGCAGAATCCGAACCTCAACAGGAGGATCAGTATCGTCCCACCTACTCGCCACGACGGCGGTGCATCGGTGGGGCGGCTGGTGGGGCGACTGGTTGAGGAGGCCGTCCAGCACACCGCCGTGAGCATGCCTGAGGAGACCAACACATGACAGAGGGAAGAGGCCCTCATGAATCGATGTGTGTGTCTGAGTGTGGTCTGTCCTGCGTACCGGTTCCCGTAAAGCCATGGCGTCCTGCCAACATTGGCCACTGGGGGGAGCAGGATGACCCTCATGACGAACGCCGACGTCGAGGCCTGAGTGAGCACCTCACCGCCGGCCGTCCAGCCGCCCCCCTGCCGGCCGATTCTGGATCTGACGGGCGGGTTGTCGTTAATGGTGTGTGTGTGGTATGGGTGGGGGG